AGTTTGTTTGCAGGTGGGATTGGCCCCGCCTTCCCAATGGCGTCTCTCCCAGAGCTCGATCTTCCTGGTTGGGCTCAAGCTAGCGTATTTACTGCCTAATTCTCTAGCAAGGGCTTCAGTTTGAGTTCTGTGGAGGTGCGGCCTGCCAGGCCTTAAGGTGTTTTCCCCTGCTTTCAACTTTGCCTCCCTCTGTAGGACGGTCCGTCCCACTGGCGTTTGTCCAAACTCCCACCCAGGTCCCTGCAGCAACTTGCCATGCCCCGCGGTAGCTGCTGCTCAGATTTGCATCGACTACCTATGGCTTCCCACCGTCTGGCAGGGCTCTCGTGGACTGTGGGTTGCAGGAGTGATGAGGTAAGTACAAGTTCTGAAATGGAGCACCGAGTTCAGTGCCCTATCAGTCCCACAGAAACGAACCCGGCACCTCGCTTGCCCTCTGAGTCTCACTTGCTGGGAGCTGCATTCTGGTGCTGGCCTCTCTAGGCCATCTTGGCGCCACCCCCTCTAATTTTAAGTTTCAAAAAAATTGTTTCCCTCTTTAGAGAAATGTACCTAGTCATTAAAAAATGGCCATCATGTGTCAGGGGTTTCCACAGAGGAAAGGGCAAGAACCAGGACGATGCCGCGACCCAAATCTTCAGTAAAATCACATTAATTTGTTGCTCGGCCAGCTGGAGTGAATAGGAATTTGGATTTGGGGTGGAGGTCAAAGTATGCAATTAGAAACTAAAATTCTTGGGACAGTGGCTCTCAAACCTCAGTGTGTAAAAGGATCACCTGGGGAATGGGTTAACATGTAGATTTCTTGTCCCCACTTCTAGAAATGTTTGTTTATGGGATTGGGCTTAGTAGTCTTTTTAATAAGCACCCGGGTGCCACTGACTCAGCTGCAGGTGGTTGTCCGAAGGTAGTAGTTCCTGAGGGGAGCACAGCGGGAGAGAAATCCCTGATTGAGAACCAGGGGAGGCCGAGGGAAACACAGGCTCTAGGAAGCTGGGGTGAGGGGCAAAGATAGAGGTGTCAAATTTCAAAATCTTCCTTTGCTCTATACCTTTATTAGGACTGAACATTACTGTTTGAAAACATTTTGTAGGCTAACTTTGAAGATGTGGCTATTAATTTGAACATAAATTTCAATGGAAATTATGCTTCAAGTTTTGAACAACTATCTTGTAAACTTTTGAAATGCAATGTGTTCCTATCTGCTATGGCCACTGTGCTATGAGACTCCCAACTGGAACATGGTCAACCACTCCACTCCTGATGTAACTGACTGTATTTGGAAATTCTTCAATTTTCAGATGACATTAGCTCATGTATTAAAATAGAGAAACCTGGTTTTGAAAAGAGAGGACAGGTGCCTGCTGTTAAATAGTGAATTACATTGCATCTCAAGCCAAAAGTTCACATATCAGATTTGAGCCTCTGCTTCGTTTCATAAAGACTTTTGGATTCTTACCTTTTGAAAGAGGGATGGTATGAGAAATAGGGGATTAATCTGTTCTGGTCAGACTCTGTAGGTTAGTTTTGAATTTGGAATGGTCTTTTTAAATTTTATAAATTTCAAATTCAAACCTAAAGAATAAATTATTGAACAAACTTCTTTTGACAGGTATGGAATAGAAAATAATAAAAATTGCTAACATTAAATGTGTACACAAACAAATACGCCATTGTACATTTACAACTTGGTGACAATTATAAGTTATTTAAAGGAAAGTTCAGATGTGATTTGGAACCAGATTTGAAAAAGTTGTCAATAGACTATGAGTTGAAATTGGGCACAAATTATAGGGAATACTTAGGTGTCATTTTAGTTAATTTTCAAAGTAAATTAGTATTAAAAAACAAAGGATCTAAGAGCTGGGCTGGATGATGACAATTTGAGCTACCAAAGACTGAGCGTGCTTGAACTAGATTAGTGACATTTCAAGTTTTTCTTTTATAACAAAACCCTTGGTTCGAACAGATCCCTTTTGCTTAAGCAGAAATGGGGGCCCAGTGCCTTGCTTATCTGGCTCATCAGCCCTATGAAGACAGCAGATTAGTCATTTGTATCAGTTAGAACCTTCACTTGCAAACAACAGAATCTGACTTTGGCGAGTTTTCAAAATTGCTAGGAAAGCTGAAGAATTAAGCTTCAGAAAGGAAACCAGAATTAGTGAAACTCCTGGGTTCTGTCTCAGACACAGGAACTAAAAGGGCAGTCTCTTCAGGGATTGTCATCAGGACCAGACTTGGTGTTCCTCAGTGCTGATTGCCTTGCTTGGGTCACATGTCTATCCCTTGGTCTGGGGGTGTGGGATGTTTTGATTGATCAGGCAGGGGATGGTTAGCAGAAAAGGGGGGAAGCGGACGTTAGGAGAATAAAAACGCAAGTGTCCACCATAATGCCTTTGAAGTCCCCTCCAAGCCCAGGATTCTATGGCTGTTCCATACTTCTACTGTTCCATCATTAAAGAATTCCCACTTGCGAACTAAAATAATGCCTTGGCTTCAGAGAACTAGCTGCAGGCTCTATTCTCATTTCAGGCTTTAAACTTGGAAAATAGCATCAACACAAAATACAAAAAAAAAAAAAAAAAATTAAGGCGATAATAGCAGTTTCTTTTGTGGTTCTTTTTTATTGAGTAGTTGTTAAAAGCCTAGAGTTTCAGTCAGATCACAATTAAATTATGTATGACCTTGATTAAATACCTTAATTTTCCTGAGCCTCTGTTTCCTCATCTGTAAAATATGAGCAAAAAATAGTTCATTGAGGGTTTTATTGGGTTGTTGTATAGGAAATGCTTGTTTCAGTGCCTAGCCTTAATAAGTGGTAGTAATTACCATTTTTCTGTAAGGGAATTCCTTCTCAAATGTTAATCATGGAAATTTATATGGTCATATTTTAATGAGTTCATTTTCATTAATTCACTGAAGCTTGGAGGCATGGGAACAGAAAGATAATCTTGGATGCTCAACAACCAAGCCCAGAAGACTAAGAAAATGGTGAAAATTCACTGAAGCTACATATTTGTGCTCTGTGAACCCAAAGGCATATCACAGGATGTTTCCAGGTATGTAATTCGTATATATATTTGACAGCAACTGGAGCAACATTATAGAAGGTGCATTACAAAGGCTCACTCTGAAGATTGATCCTGGTTTTTTCTGAAAAGGTTTCCTTCCTGGTGACTTCCATATAATGACATGGAATACTAGATTTCTGTAGAATTTTGATTATATCCTGTCTATCCTCTGTCCTTTGGCAAACTGAAGTGGTTGCTATGACTCCCTTATACATCATTGCGATGACTAAAGTAAAAATGAGTTTCAGGCCAAAAATGTGTACTGGGAATTATGAAACCACATGCTTCTGGACGCAACTCACTAATGACGGATTTTAAAACAAAGAGTGACTGAAGTCTGGGGAGAGAATTTCCTTCACTCAGTTTATCACCAGCACTTTATTAGGAATGGGAAATGGGTAAAAGAGATGTTTCTAATGCAGATTTACAAATTATCCTGGTGTTACCAGAATTATATCTGAGAGGGGGAGATTCCTGCCCCTTTGTCGATAGAACGTACTTCCTTCCCGTGGAGGTTGTGAGTTGGAAAGTTTATCCTTTCCTACCAGAAACAAATGCCAGTGTTCAGAAATTGAGTCAATCCTTCAGAAGTCTTCCATCTTATTATTTCTTAAACCAATGAAGCAAAAACATTTATTGACCGCCTACCTACCTTTTTATTCATCACCATGCTGCCTGCCTGAGTTCTCAGAAGAGAAGGGTTATTCCAACACTTATGCATTGCATATTCTAGATGAGGGAGACAAGATGTAAATGTACAAAATATTAAGGCCAAGTAGAAACCCATTTGAAATGAAAACTCATTCCTGTGGCTCCCAGGCCTGTTAGAGCAGGACAGCTGGCAAAAACCCCTTGCTCAGCTGGAGGAGATTTCAATCAGCAAACTTATCTGTACCTAATGGAACAGGGTCCAAATTTGTCACTAGACCATGTTTGAAGGAACAGGCAATTTGTTCAAGTCATTTTGGATGCAGGAAATCCTGTGTTTACTACCTAGGAAATACTACATAAAAATTTGGATTTTTTCCCCTTGTAATGCTCTTTTGAATTGAAATTTGGCAACAGAGCTACTGCTGATAAGAATGTGGCTCAGGAAATGACAACACAGTGATAGCAGATCATACACAATAGACCTTGCTTCTTTGTTTTCACTCTGGTTCTCAAAGATAGTTGATAGACTTGATTCCTTTCAGGAGTCTAGACACTCCCAAGTTCATTCTAAGCCCACGTCTCTAGCACTAATGCTTCAGGGAGGCATTGCCATCTCCCTGAAAATGTCTCCAGTACATAAAGAAATGTCTTGGGGTGGCTGGCAAGATGGCTGAATAGGAACAGCTCCAGTCTGCAGCTCCCAGTGAGATCAGTGCAGAAGGTGGGTGATTTCTGGATTTCCAGGTACCAGGCTCATCTCACTGGGACTGGTTAGACAGTGGGTGCACCCAGCAGAAGGTGAGCAGAAACAGGGTTGGGTGTTGCCTCACCTGAGAAGCACATGGCCTTGGGGAACTCCCTCCCCTAGCTGTGAGAAGCTGTGAGGGACTGTGCACCCCAGCACAGATACTATGCTTTTCCCACAGTCTTAGCAACCTGCAGGCAAGGTGATTCCCTTGGGTGCCTATACCACCAGGACCCTGGATTTTAAGCACAAAACTGGGCAGCTGTTTGGGCAGACACTGAGCTAGCTGCAGGAGGTTTTTTTCTTTTTTTTATTTTTCTTTTTCATTTGTATAATTATGTAGTCCTCAGTAAAGGAGGTTTTTTTCATACCCCAGTGGTGACTGGAATGCCAGTGAGACAGAACCATTCACTCCCCTAGAAAGGGGGCTGAAGCCAGGGAGCCAGGTGGTCTAGCTCAGCGGATCCCACCCCCATGGAGCACATCAAGCTGAGATCTACTAGACTGAAATTATTTTTTTTTAAAAATATACTCCTGGATAAAGGAATTTATTACATTAATATACTATAAGTTCAAGAATGATTTACTCACAATTTAGTAATGACTTTGTGGAAAGTACAGTAAAATGTGTGAGCAATTTTAGTTATGTATTGTTTGTTGGATTCTAAAGTACTCCACAGGTGTTTTGGTATATTCCTATTTGGGGTTAGCAATCTACTTTTCTGGTTAAACATCACATGAGGATTACACATTTATCTTCTCACCAAAACAGTCTCCTGTAGTATATGTAAATAGGACAGGTCACTTTTTCTCTTAAGCTAAATGCGATAGTTCTGGCTTTGCTCATTTGCTTTCTAGCAGCCTCCCCATGTTAGCCTTGCCACATGGTCAGTCTTCTGTTTGGTAGGTTTTATAAATCCTAAAAGTTCTAGTTCAGAAACAGCTCTAATAAACAGAGCATGGATAATTTTATTCATTTCTTCTGAGGTTGCAGAATTTGCATCCATTTTTTCAGCAGCTGTCACAACTGTTGCGAAAGCCTCTGACCAGTCCTCAAGGTTGGTTAGCCTGCTACATTCTAGGTGCAGTTTAAATGCTATGCAGATGTCTGGGGTGAAATTTGGAATGCAGCCTTCTTCACTTTTCAGTGCTTCATTCTTTAGATAATAGTAAGGATTGTTGAGTGCAGTATGGAGGGCAATTCACAGAGCAGCATTTAAATGCTCACAAAGGGCATGGGCAGCGCTGAAGTACACCACCTCATGGAGATGCTGTGTCTCAGGAGGCAGAAGGTATTCTCTCACTAGACAGACAATGAAGTTCACCTCATTTTCTCTGAGTACTTCAAATTTGGTTGGCTTCGTACTTCTTCTTAACTCCTTCATTTCCAATAAGGACTTCTGAAGATGATAGAGGTCTGTCTTCTGAAGCCCCTTTGGCTGTGACCCAAAAGCACCTTCTTCCTCTTTGGTTTAATTGAGGTTCTGAAACTGGGCCAGGAACTCCTCTGTTCTCTTAGCTGTGCTGGCAGGGTGCTTTTCACAAGACTTAAAAACCTTGAAACATTTCTCAAGTATGGTCATCAATTCATCCTTTGCCAACATCCTCAGCAGTTGCAAGACTGATGCATACTCCTCTGAATCCCATATGTTCTTTTCTAAACATGTGCAGTAGAACTCTCTGATCTGTCAGTCCAGTGGATACTTGGGAAGAGAATAGGTAAACTTATGAAGACATCTCAAAACCAGGAAGTAATTCATATGATAAACATGCAAGTTTTCTAGTAATAATTGTGTTTTCTCCTTCAAACATTTCCCTTGGTCAAGAGTGCCACTTGCTTTTCTAAAGCTTACTTTTCCACGTACCTCCTAGGAGATGGAAGATGCTGAATATTTTCACATTGATTATTTGACAAAAAATTTATTTTTCTTTTGGCTTCTGGAAGATTACAGCACAGTACACTTAAGGGCTGGGAATAGAAATGCTCTAATAGAGAAAGCTGAAGTCCTTTTATAAAGTTTTGAATTGAGAAATCATGATACAAAAAGATATTGGTCAGAACCTGTAATACTTTTTCATTTATTTGAAAGGGAAACTGAGTAGTAAGAAATAGCTTATCGAGTACTGTAGTCAGGTGCTCCCTGCAAGGCAAAGATTGGAACAGTTCTATGCACAACAGAGATGATACTGCATGAGGAAGCAATCGATGGATGGTAATAGGAGATGTAGTGATTCCGAAAATGAGAATTAGTGGAAATTCATGCAGATGTTGACTATTGGCACAGAGATCTTTCTCTTTTTGGAGTTTGGCTTAAAAAGAAAGCAGCCCTTAGACACTGATGAGGTGGCCATGGTCTCAACTGGCTCTGTGGATTCCAGATCTGATTGAAATTCTTGATGACAGCACAGAAGTCTGAAGTCAACCTGGGATGCTCAAGCTTGCCTAGGGGAGGGACCTCTGTTATTACTGAGGCATGAGGAGGTGGTTTTCCCTTTACAGTCTAAACAAAGCCCCCAGAAAGTTCACACTGCAGGTTGGCAAAGCTGCTGTAGTCAGACTACCTTTCTAGATTCCCCCTCACTGGACAGGGCATCTCTGAAAGAAAGGCAGCAGCTCCAGTCAGGGGATTATAGACAAAATTTCCATATCCCTGGACAGAGCACCTGGGGGAAGGGGTGGCTGTGGGCGCAGCTTCAGCAGACTTAAATGTTCCTGCCTGACAGTTCCGAAGAGAGCAGTGGATCTCCCAACACAGCACTCAAGCTCTGCAAGAGGACAGACTGCTCCCTCAAGTGGGTCCCCGACCCCTATGCCTCCTGGCTGAGAGACACCTCATACAGGAGAGCTCCGGCTGGCATCTGGTGGGTGAAGGAACAGGCAGCAATCTTTTCTGTTCTATAGCCTCTGCTGGTAATACCCAGGCAAACAGGGTCTAGAGTGGACCTCCAGCAAACTCTAGCAGACCTGCAGAAGAGAAGACTGTTAGAAGGAAAACTTACAAACAGAAAACCATAGCATCAACATCAACAAAAAGGACATCCACACAAAAACCCCATTTGAAGGTCACCAACATCAAAGACCAAAGGTAGATAAGATAAATCCATGAATGTGAGACAAAACCAAAGGTAGATAAGATAAATCCATGAATGTGAGAAAAATGTGTGCAAAAAGGCTGAAAAATCCAAAAACCAGAACACCTCTTCTCCTCCAAAGGTTCACAACTCCTCATCAGCAAGGAAACAAAACTGGACAGAGAATGAGTTTGATGAATTGACAGAAGTAGGCTTCAGAAGGTGGGTAATAAAATTTTCTGAGCTAAAGGAGCATGTTCTAACCCAATGCAAGGAAGCTAAGAGCATTGAAAAATGGCTAGAGGAGTTGCTAACCAGAATAACCAGTTTAGAGAAGAACATAAATGATTTGATGGAGCTGAAAAACACAGCTTAAGAACTTCGTGAAGCATATACAAGTGTCAATAGCTGAATCAATCAAGTGGAAGAAAGGATATCAGAGACTGAAGATCAACTTCAATGAAATGAAGTGTGAAGAGAAGTTTAGATAAAAAGAATGAAAATAAATAAAGCCTCCAAGAAATATAGAACTATGTGAAGAGACCAAACCTATGGTTGATTGGCGTACCTGAAAGTGATGGGGAGAATAGAACCAAATTGGAAAACACTCTTCAGGATATCATCAAGGAGAACTTCCTCAACCTAGAAAGATAGGCCAACATTCAAATTCAGGAAATACAGCAAACACCAAAAGGAACTCATAGAGAAGACCAACCCCAAGACACATAATCCTCAGATTCACCAAGGTTGAAATGAAGGAAAAAAATGTTAAGTGCAGCCAGAAAGAAAGGTCGGTTTACCCACAAAGGGAAGCCCATCAGACTAACAGTGGATCTCTCTGCAGAAACCCTACAAGTCAGAAGAGAGTGGGGGCCATTATTCAACATTCTTAAAATAATTTTCAACCCAGAATTTCATATCCAGCCAAACTAAGCTTTATAAGCAAAAGAGAAATAAAATGCTTTATAAATAAGCAAATGCTGAGAGATGTTGTCACCACCATGCCTGCCTTATGAAAACTCCTGAAGGAAGCTCTAAATATGGAAAGGAAAAACTGGTAACCGCCACTGCAAAAACATACCAAATTGTAAAGACCATTGACACTATGAAGAAACTGCATCAACTAACAGGCAAAATAACCAGCTAGCATCATAATGACAGGATCAAATTCACACATAACAATATTAACCTTAAATGTAAACAGGCTAAATGCCCTAATTAAAAGACACAGACTGGCAAATTGGATAAAGAGTTAAGACCCATAGGTGTGCTGTATTCAGGAGACCCATCTCACATGCAAAGACATGCACTCAAAATAAAGGGATGAAGGAATATTCACCAAGTAAATGGAAAGCAAAAAAAGCAGGAGTTTCAATCCTAGTCTTTGATAAAACAGACTTTAAACCAACAAAGATCAAAAAAGGCAAAGAAAGGCATTACATAATGGCAAAGGTATTAATGCAACAAGAAGAGCTAACTATCCTAAATATATGTGCATCTAATACGGGAGCACCCAGATTCATAACGCAAGTTCTTAATGACCTACAAAGTGACTTAGACTCCCACACAATAATAGTGGGAGACTTTAATACCCCATTGCCAATATTAGACAGATCAATGAGACAGAAAATTAACAAGGATATTCAGGACTTGAACTCACCTCTAGATCAAGCAGACCTATTAGACATCTACAGAACTCTTTACCCCAGATTAACAGAATATACATTCTTTTCAGCACCACATACCACATTTTTGGTATGTTTTTGCAGTGGCGGTTACACTTATTCTAAAATTGACCACATAGTTCAAAGTAAAACAACAAGGTGGCAGCCTATAGGCAAAGAAGACAGTCCTCACTAGAAACCACCCTGATACATTGATCTTGAACTGCTAGCCTCCAGAACTGTGAGAAAGTAAATTTCTGTTGTTTAAGCCACCTAGTTTATGGTATTTTGTTATGGCAGATAGCAGACTAATGCAGAAGATTTTTAAAAATAATACTTCTATTTGATAGAAGCCTGGTTGGAGGATGTAGCTTAAAATGAGAACAACTAAGCCTGCTAACTGTTCCCTAGAAAAAAGCAGCCCACCCAGTGCAGGGGTCATGGTCTCACAGCAGACGTCTCCATGTGGCAGAGCCCCCTCTGGGCATCTTGTTCTCAAGAGAAAAAAGAACAGAATAAGCTTAGCATAACCTATTATTATTCTGAAGTTTACCAATCCCTAGGGCAGTGTGAGTAAATGTGTAGGGAGAGGCCAGAAGAAAACTCAGTTCTCATTGGAACCAGGAGAAGGGAAGAATTCTCCTCTAAAAACGTGTATGCTTTCTGAGCTCTTATGTGTTTATAATAGAGGACAGAGTCAAAAGGGGTTGATGCTTCCTCATGGGCTCCAACTTCGTTTCTTTTTCCAAAGGGAAGGAAACTGAAGGGAGGGCTGGCAGGGTGTTTAAAATCTTTTTAGGGCATAACAGTTTAGAGAAGTTATTTATAAAGGGTGAGGTACTGAGGAGCATAGTACTCATTCAAATGGTTATTAGGGCATAACTAGGAAGACATAAGGGCCCCTTAGAGTATGCTTGTTTCTGTCAGTCATCATTCATATTTCTATTGTCAGCTAAGTCTCATTCTTCTCTTCTCTCCCCTTCTCACGTCACTCATTCTTTCCATCCATCACTCTCTCCTACTCCTCATCCCTCTCCTTTGGAGCCCATTTCCTATAAATGTCTTATAGTAATAAAAGAATCAAGAGGTAGTTTGGAGACTTTACTTTGCCATCCCTAAATCCTTGTCAATTCCTATAAGACACCCCAAGTATTACATGATTCAAGTACAGTTAGTGTGCTTGCTCTTCATTTGTTCAGGTATCCATTCATTCCACACACATGTGCTGAGGGACCACACATACTGGGTACTTTTTCCAAATACTGAATATTCCTATAAACAAAATAGGTTAAAAAAAACTGCCTTTGTGAATCTTATACTCTAGTATGGGATGGGGGTGACAGATAATACACAAAGCATACAAGTTAGATGTGTGTGTTAGAAAGCAAGTCCCATAGCACAATAGAGCTGCGTAAGTGAGATTGGGATTGTGGGGTCAGGGGAACTTTAAATAGGGTGGTCAGAGCAGGGTAGGCCTCACTGAGATGGGATCTTTTGCATAAAGACCTGGTAAGATAGTCCCTTGGATAATGAGGGGAAGCGCATTCTAGTCTGAGGGATATGCAGTGCCAAGGCTCTGAGGTACACACATTCAAGAGAAAGCAAGGAAGACTAGGCACAGTGGCTCATACCTGTAATTCCAGCACTTTGGGAGGCCAAGATGGGTGGATCACTTGAGGTCAGGAGTTTAAGACCAGCCTGGCCAACATGGTGAAACCCTGTCTCTACTAAAATTACAAAAATTAGCTGGGCATGCTGGGAGGCACCAGTAATCCCAGCTACTCTGTGAGAGAGAGAGAGAGAGAGAGAGAGAAGAGAGAGAAGAGAGGAGAGAGACAGAGAAAGAAACAAACTACCTGGCTGGCATCAATGAGCAGAAATGACTCAGGGATGACTTGAGAAAGGCATGGAGCAGGGGTCGTCACATAGGATCTTGTTCATAGTAAAGCCTTTGGCTTTACAAGTTTAATAAACTCTGAAGTAAATGGGGACGATTGATGAAATGGGAACTTTTGATTGCTGTATCAACACATCACAAAGATAAATCCTCTAAGCCCAGTAAATTTCTCTCTCTCTACCCCCCTTTCTCTTTTGCAACTTGATTACCACCTCTAAGCCTTATTAAATAGATGTGATTAAGGCATCTCTGCTTGGGTTTGAGTCAGAGTCCATGAGATGCTAGAATGGTAGTAACCATTTATGCTGGGAGTTTTTGGTAAACAATACAGTCTGGTTACTAATTTTTTTTTTTAAAGTTTACATTTGCTACTAAAATGTTTCCTCCAAATATCTAGGTCTTGGTCTCTTTTAACTAATTTTATCTGTTACAGAGATTTTTTTTTTAGTCAAAAACTTAGGTCTTTGACTCTCTAACAGGAGGAATAATGGCCTTCTAAAGATAACCATGCCCTAATCGTTGAAACTTGTGAATATGTTATTTCATATGGCACAAGGGACTTTGCAGATGTGGTTAAGGTTGCGACCTTGAGCTGGGGAGATTTTTGTATAATAGATTATTTGAATCGATTTGATCTAATGAGATAAGTCCTTAACAGTGGAGAACTTTTCTTACAT